GGTTAGTACTTTTAGTTGGAGTTGTATAAACTGTTAGATGGTCCGGTCTACGTTTAATGAGATATTTCAATTAGCTGTTTATTGCAATGTACATACAGGCGATGTTTTGAAAAATGGTTAAGTAATCAAGTTGGTAATGATTAATGACATCATAATTGAAAAGAAAAAAATATTCCGCATTTTTAATTAAGCGCAGCTTAATACGATAGTATGATAACATTACCGGATATTTACGGGGTGTTACAATACCAGTATGTCTAAATATTAGAAAAGGGAATATTTGATTTTTTCTAATACATCAAACCTGGAATATAAAAAACTGATAATATATTCAAGTATAAATTATGCATAACATAAATTAGTATTATTAATTTTTATGATTTAAATATTAGTATCTTTTATGTCAAATTTTTGTTCTGTATAACAACGTAAATATTCATTCGTAGCGGTGCAAATAGATTGCGTTGGGCTAAGCTTTAACTTAAATAAGTCATATTTCTATAAAAATATTTTAGGTTTGTTCTGGTCTATTAACCTATATAAGCTCAAATTATAAGTCTGCTATGCCCTATATTTAAAAAGTCTTGGCCTAGACCTGTTTAAGCCTGTTCAACATTCAATAATTAAAAAAAATTATTAAAACAATATTATTTATTATTCAATATCATTAAAATGATTATTTTATTTATTTTATTCAAAATAAACAATATGATGAGTCGTCCTGTAGGCTTATAGGCCCGACATGTAAATGACAAGCCTATAACTTTCTTTCTAAATATTTTTTTTTTTTTAAAACCTGAGTCAGTTCTATTTGACTATATATAATAGGTCGAGTCTGGCCTGATGTAGGCCCTTGTTAGGCCGTCTGCCCCAGTTACACCCCGAGGTGAAAATAGGTTGGGCTGGACTAGACTTTTCCTTTAAGAGGTCAGGCCTATGTAAAATACTTTAGGTTTGTCATGATCTGTTAGCCATGTATAAACCCACATTATAAGTCTAGTCTGACCTATATTTAAAAAACAAAAATATTGACCTAGGCTTGTTAGCTTGTTTAAACCTATTAGGCATTTAATAATTAAAATAACATTATTTTATTATTATTATTATTAAAATCTTGACATAGTTATCATAAAAATTGATCATGTGTGTTATTATTATATACTTTACCATTATTGCATAGTTATCATATTTGTCATTTTAAAGGACAAAATATTGTATCATTTAGCATAAAACAATTGTATTTTATGGTGAGAGAAATTTGTCACACAATGAATAATCATCATAAGGGAGAGTGACAAAGTGTGGGATTATTGACGACTTTTTTTTCTTAATTTAAATATTAAGAAAAACATTATTATTTCACTTAAATGATACGATATTATGTTTTTTAAAGGCATACATATTTTTTTTTTAAATAAATTATTAAATATATTTTTATTAATAACATAATCTATTATCTTTCACGTATTTATCGTGAAAATCAAGAATTATTAAATATTTTAAATATTATGTAGTGAATAATGTCCAAAAAATACAGATATTTTCAAAATTTTATTTTCATCTTGATTTATATACCATAATTAACAATCAATAAATATATAATAAAATTTAGATGAAGGTTATTCTTACAATCTATTTTTGTCTATAACATCTTACAAACATATCTTAACCGTTGATTTCTGCCAATAAACGGTTATCATTTCAGCCAATCAAATTCATTAATTAATTATTAATTTTCAATAAATGATAACCGTTGATTGGCGAAAAACAATGGTTAAGATGCAGTTGTAAGATGTTGTAAACAAAAATAGGTTGTAAGAATAATCTTTCTCTAAAATTTATGTCATTAATAATTACATGGATCTCCATAATATCCTATTTATGAATTTAAAATGTGTGTGATTGCTCTAACTTTTTCCTGTTAGGAATGTGGGTTCCATGCTCAATAAGGGAGTGAATTGAATATTATAATATTTTTGCAAAAGCCCCTTTCTAATTTCTAAAATTATCATTTCAAGCAAACTTTGATATATACATTCAAATAAATCATAATGTATGATATATAACAATTATAAAACTTATGCTAGAACATACAAGATATCAAAGAAGCATTTAAAGTACTAGAAATAAATAGTTTAGAGTCTAGAGAACGGTAAACATGATATATCCTGGTTCAGTCACCACCACTTGTGACCTACCTCCAGACTGAAGTCGCTCGATCAAATCTTTCCCTAATGGCCAAGCTTCAAGGTTGCTTGATAAACTACTACAATCTTTCAAGACTTCAGGCTCTTGATGCCTTTCACTCCAAATTTACTTAGGTACTTGGGTACCTCTCAGATATAATGGGTCTCACAACCCTCTCAACTCAAGAATACAAATGAGTGAGTGTTGGAAATAAATATACACTCTCAAAGTGAAGATATACAACTTGAAGCACTATAGTATATGGATTTTCACAATATAAGCTCAAATATGTGTAATATTTGAATGATATGAAATGATATGCAAATGATAATATAAAAGCTCTCAAATTATGCTTAAGATGTGTAGGAATGATGATTAATCAATTTTAGGGCTTTTGGGAATGTATATATAATGATTTTGCCCAAAACTAGTTGTTTATAGCCGTTATAGGCTTTTTTTGGCAGAGGGAACCGATTCTCATGCTTTGGGAATCGATTCCCAACCTTTCTAATGTGGTGGAATCGATTTCCATGAGGAGGGAATCGATTCCCAACTCGTTGCAGGTTGGAAATACGACAGCATGAATATTGTTTCTTATTTTGGCGATAACTTGAGCGACTCTTATAGGATGGATGTGATATTGGTCTCATTAGAAAGATAAAAGAAAGATATATAATTTCTATGAAGAGAAAAATATGCAAATCCATCATATTGGATATGAAAAATTGTGTGGAAGACAAAATCTAAAATTATGCATCAAATTTGATTTTAAATGCATTCCAACCACTTTTGATGAAAAATCTTGACTTGATAAATATGTTTTGAAGTTATAAAACATGTCAAGGATCTTTTTTATGGGTTTTTCAAACTTCTTTCAAGTGTATAAAAGGTTATGGATTATGCAATTTGAAAAACATGTTTACTTTGAGAAAAGCTTTGAACTCATGTAATGCAATCTATCGTATACCCTTACAATTATATCTAAGTCCTAAAAGTGTATTCTAATAAGGAATTAGATTTAGTTCTTTTGTTGATTTTTGGATCTTCATCCTCACTTGAGATTGATACTTGAGTTGTTGGTTTTGATCCCTTTTCACCATAGTTGTAATATTGAGCTTATCTTAGATGTTGTCCATGGTTTGTTGCCTTTGATCTTGGTTTTGCTCATCTTATTCTTCTTTGTTGCTCTTTATCCATTGCTAAGTTTTTTTTTATAGCTCATCCATGTTCTTGCTACTTTAATATCTGATTACTCTTCTTGTGTGGCTCAATCATGTATCTTCAATCTTCACACATAGTTGATGATTTTTTTTTGCAGTACATGAAAATTGAACACACACCACTACACTACAAACACCTAACACACACACCCCACACCACTAGGCTAATCCTAGTGGATCATAGTTGATGATTTTTACTCTTGATCAATGCTCTCTTTTTTTGTCACCACTTTGTTATCACCAAAACATATATTATCTTGTTAGCAAAAAAAAAAAAAAACATATATTATCTACATTTTCTACCCATCAAATCAGGCTTTATTTTGCAAATCGCATAATTATCATAAAAATTTGATAATGAGTGTTTTATTATTATTTTTAAATTGAAAATATAATGAAGTATCAAATATATTTATATTAATAAAGTAATCAATTATCTTTCAGGTATTTATAAAATATTTATTTTTATTTAATAACTGTAATTTTTTTTATTCATCAGGCTTAATTATTCATTATATTTCATAATTTACTATGATTACCCATTTATGAATTTTGAAAATATGTGATTGGTTACCTTATATGTCTCTGCCCATGAAATTAGGCTTAATGTCTTATATTGCATTATTATAATAAAATATTGTGTGTCAGTGTTATTATTATTATTGTTATATTGATGATACAATGAGTTATTAAATATATATTCGTTAATAATATAGTTTATAAGCTTATAGATATTTATCATGAAAATCAAGAATTAATAAACACTTTCGATATCATGAATTAAATAATGTAAAAAAAAATTCCAGATACTTTAGCAATTTCCTTTTCATCTTTTTTTATTGATATTCTTTTATTTATTTATTTTAAGTTTAATATGGAGTGTATACTTAGAAAACTTATGGGCAGAGTATAAATATCCTTTTTATCTCTTTCTTTTTCTCTTTTTGTTATATATTTTAAAATCATTATTTTATATTTTATTTGCACGATTTCTCCCGCATACTTTGACTTCAGATGGGGAAAAAGTCAAAAAAACAACTAATTACACAATTTGAAGTTCACCTCCTTTATAGAAGAACAACATTAAACTTTTTTAATAACATTTAATTTTTATTTTCCAAATATTATAACAAACTCTTAAAAATAGAGATTATTTTATTGAAAAGGTATAACATTGATGCAGAATAATATGCAAAATCCATGACTATAAACTAAATTAAAAAAACTTCTCATTCTTCCAATAAAAAAATAATTTGATTTAATATCAACATAAATGGATTACTAATTATGCATTCATAATATAAAAAATTGATTATTTATTTATAATCAAACTAAGTAATGATCTCACAATAAATAAATGGATGTACCTGGAAAAAAATATAAAAGGGAAAATAGTTTCAAACATCATAATAAATACGTTTTAAATTTTTAATGACACCCATTAATTTTGATAACTTTTCTTCAAGCCAATCTTGTTTTTCTTATAATGGAAAAATGTCTTGTATATATATTGTTGCAATTTTCCATTTTGTATGTGTCTCGGAGAGAAGTGAGCCAAGATATTGAAGTGAGATGGAGAAAAGTAGCATTGCAATGTTATTGCTTTGGGTCATGTTTGGCTCGTATATTCTAGATATAAAAGCTGGAGCAGGAGCATCATCACCTTTGGAAATAACAATTGAAGCCAAATTGAAGCAACTCAACAAGCCTTACCTTAAAACCATTAAGGTTTGCAATTCCATTACACGCATTTTGGATTGCAGTTATCTTTTCAGGTTTTCCCTTTTTGCAATATTTTAGTTTTTTATGGCTGATAATTTGGAATAGATCGACTCATCATATATCAATGAATTGAGTTATCAATGTTTCAAAATGTTTATTTTCATTTTTTTTAATAAGACTTTTGGAAAAATGAACTTTAATTTATTTTTATAAATAATCAACAAAAAATGGACGGAATGATAGAAGAATCATATTAAAAAGATGTTTGCATTTCAAATAAAGAAAAAAATATTTTGAGATCTTTTTAATTAATAACCAATCACAATAGTGCATAATGAATGACTTTGATTGAAAAACCTAAAAAACAAAAATTCCCTTTGAATGCAGCCATCTTCTCCTCCCCCAACAACTATGATTGTGTTGATAACTTCACAATTTATGTATAGAAATAAATTAAACCTTCAATTTTTATATTTTTACAAGGATATCACAATAATAAAGAGAAAATTAATTACTTAAAATAATTATTGATAAATATTCTCAACTTGCATCAAATGCAGTGTACAAATATTAGTTAGAGAATTAATTAGTTAATAATTAGAACGTACTACTTATACAGATAGAAAATAGCTAGGACTCATTAGATAATTCATATATAAAATAAGATTGAGCATATTATTAGGCTTAGGAATTAATCATTTAAATTTGACTCAATGTTTCTAATTTTTATAAAAAATTCTTATCTGACAAATTTTTATACATTATTAGATGAAGTTTTTCTATATTTTCTTAGAAAGTCTTTTAATAATTCTCGTGATATTAAAATAAAAAGTAATAAATGAAACACAAATATTTTGAATTAGAAACAAAAATGATATTGACTAAAAAATATTAAAAATTTGATCAGAAGGATTTACATTTATAGAAAAAGTGTGTATCATTTTTTTTTTTTTTTTGATAACAGTGTGTATCATTTTAATGGATACAAAGTTGTGTCATTTTAAGTGAGAGAAAGAGATAAATCATGGGAGAGAGTGAGGGAAAAAAGTTTTAAAGATGTGAGTCTCACCTCTTTATAAGAGTAAAAGAAAGTAAGGTGTGTCATTTAAAATGACATTTAAAATAACACACATTTTTGTATTTGAATATAAAATTTACTATTGTTTTTCTGCAGAGTGAAGATGGGGATATTATTGACTGCGTCGACGTCTACAAACAACCTGCTTTTGACCATCCTGCCTTACAAAACCACAAAATTCAGGTACATTATTCATTATTACGTGGATTCTAGGGTGTCTTCGGCCAAGGTGGAACTTTTTGGTGAGAAATTGAATAATATTGTAGAAATTAAATTTATATTTTAAAAGGGCTTGTAATTTTATTTTAATCTCGAACTAAAAAACTAGAAATTTAAAATGAACCAGACACATTAATTATGTTAATATCCTAATAATATTTAATTTCACCTTAATATTCCAAACAAGCTAATTAGTAATATTTAACCCAACCTTAAATCCGTCACCATTTTATTCATTAATCATTATTATTCTGCCACCACGTAGAATCCAACCAAGAGCCTGTTTGTTTGCACTTTAAAAAAAAGTAACTTTTATATCTTCCTTATTTTAGAAGTTTTTTTTACAAAAGTTAAAGCTATTTATACTTTTATAAAAATATTTAGATTTTGAAAAAAACATTTGGCTTTTGACTTCTGCTTTTTTTAGAAGTTAAAATATTTAGCTTTAGAAAAAAGTAAATTTTTGACTTTTTTTGTGACTTCTGCTTTTTTTAAAAACAGACCTCCAAACGAACTAAAAATGAAAAGTGCTTTTTTTCACACAAAAAAAAGCAACTTCTAGAGAGAAAAAAGTCCATCCAAACGGGCCCTAATTAATATTATTTGGTTTCCTCTCGTCCTAGTCAAACTAAGGCTAATGCATTTTTTTATGAATGAACTGCACAGATGATACCAGACTTTTTGCAAGAATCTCATAATGCAAGCGCAAAAGATGTTTTTCAAATATGGCAGAGAAGCGAAAGTTGTCCAGAAGGAACCATCCCTATCCGCAGAATTATGAAGGAGGACTTACTCAGAATCGCTTCTTCCAACCGTTTCGGGATGAAACCCCCAGCAATTTTTAAGAATTCAACAAAGACAACAAACGCCTACAACCTTCATTTTCCCAACCTCAATGTCACCAATGGAGTTGTTCCGGAAGATCGCTCGGTAGATATCACAACTAATATATACATTTCCATGCACACACATATATATATGATCATTTTGTTTTTTGTCAAGCTAATTTATTAGAGTATAAATGGTACCGTGGCGTGATCATGCAGGCAGCATATCTTGAAGCAATGGGACAAAATTTTATGGGTGCAGAAGCAGATATTAACGTTTGGAATCCAAACATTGACCTGCCAGATGATTTCACCACTGCTCAAATCTGGCTTAAGGCCAGAAATGGTATTGATTTTGAAAGCGTCGAAGCAGGCTGGGTGGTAAGTTTACTTGCCAAGACTTATATTATCTTGTGAATGGTAATGTGTCAAATTTGTATATCTCTCTTCAAAATAGACACAAATTTTTCATATATATGATTAATGCGTGATGTTATATAAACTCATGTGGCTGATGCTCTTTAATTTTATTATGGTTTAGGTGAATCCTAAGTTATATGGTGACAAAGCCACTCGGTTGTTTGCCTACTGGACTGTTAAGTACCTATTTATTGAGAGATAAAGTCATTTTGTTTGTCGGTCTTCTTAGATCTTAGTTGTTTTCGTAACCTCAAATTTAGATGCGGAAATCGAACATTGATTTTTGTTTTCTTGATTTTTGGGTGGGGTGCAGACGGATTCATACCAGTCAACAGGTTGCTTTGATCTTACTTGCTCTGGGTTTGTGCAAACAGGCACCGAAGTAGCGCTTGGTGCTGCCTTAAAACCCGTGTCATCCGATTCTGGCAATCAGTACGACTACAACGTTGGGATGTACTTGGTAATGATCACGTATATATTTCTATTCTATCCATACCTTATTGAATAATCTTGAACACAAAAAAATAAAATAAATAAAAACATTTCATAACTAACTTCTAGGTAGTCACTGTGTAATTTTTAAAGATAATATATTTCTATCGAGGTAAATTCGAAATTTGACATCTTATCTGAGAGTCGTTAGATCAAAAAAGATCAACGACTCTGATTTGTAAGCATATGACACCATTGATCTTTTTTTATCTAACGGCTCTCAGTTCCAGTGTCAAACTTCAAATTTGACACAGGTGTCAAACGACCTGCCTCATTTCTATTATGTGCAAATGACTACATGGTAATGTTAATTAATGTACTGAATAAATAATATTTGTTGATTGTTTTTTTTTTTGGGTGGGGTTTGGTTAAGGATTACGCAGGGAATTGGTGGCTTAGAGTGAGGAACAATAAACCTGTAGGTTATTGGCCTGCCGAACTGTTCAGTTCTTTAACCTCCAGTGCCATAGTGGTTGAATGGGGTGGACAAGTGTTCAGTTCGAATCTGAAAAAAACCACCCCTCACACGCGAACAGCAATGGGCAGTGGAAATTTCCCGGATGGTCAATTTGGGCATTCATGCTTCATGCGCAATCTGAGGATTAAGGATAATTCGCTTGCTCTCAAGTACCCTCAAAATGTAAATGCATCGGCGGAAGAACCCAACTGTTACAAGGCCTTGAATGTCATGAAAAATGGAGCGGAGCCTGTCTTCTATTTTGGAGGGCCCGGACAAAGACCTCCCAATTGTCCTTGAATCTCTGTTATACACTACATACTTAAGTGATTGTTTCGTTGAAATGTGAATGGCAAATAATCAAAATGCATAAATGGTCTTGATCCGAAAATTTTGGACATCAGTTTCTCTATTTGTAACCAAATGTCTAACCTGCAAATTATGAATGTTCGTGAATATACATAGATCATGCAGAAATCTTTAGTTATTAATGTGACATTATATTATATATTGAATTCAATAAAAATTGACTGCCATTAGGCACAAAAGACCACTTGAATTAGAAGTGAGCGAATTAATAATAATGTTTTAACTACAAAAATGCTTACATGTAACGCATAAAAAGAGTTAGACCATTCAAGAGATCTATATAGTTTTGACTTTTGAGGATAATGCACAAGTTAAATATGAACGAAGTAGCGGTATTCATGTGAAATTACATACACTGTGAGGTAGCTCCTCGAGTGGGGCTGCGCTGTTCCTGGATCCTCAAGATGTGCAATTATGCATTCAAGAAATGGAATGGTCACCAACCATTGAAATGGGGTGCACGGGTCACCATGAAAAGAAAATGTAGAAAACTGTCTAAATATTTATTGTATGCAAATCGAGTTCCACTGGCAGATCAATTACATGAAATAATCAATTACAATAATACCTAATATGTATGGCAATCACTAGTCTTCCAGCCAAGCAATACATAGGATAGGGGGTTAAAAACTGCCTCCCAAGCATAAAGGAAGCAGAGCACAACGAACAATTACTTATCTTGTCGACATACCATAATATTACATTTTCACCACTATTGATATGACAGATATATCTACATACCAATGTGCTGTAATAAGATCAAAACCAAAAAACTAAAAATATAAAATACAATAGCCCTTTTCATGATGCCATACCCCATAAAATTACAGGAACTAGACGCCATAAATCTTGCCTGCTTGAATGATCCAAGTCGATAAACAGCACTAAACTAGTCATCATACTGTTTTCTCTCTTCTTGAATCGATTGAAAAATTCTAGCTGCTGATTCATTTGCAAATCTTCGGTTGTGAGGCACCACTTTGATTACTCGAGTTTGTTGTCCAGTTTCAAGAGACTGAGGGACTCCCTCTGGTTCTACTGGAACCATAGGGAAAAATGGAAGTACATCTCTTCCTTCAGCAATTTGACTTGTGTTGATTGCTTGTGCCATTTCACTAGGACTACTTGCCGTACTCCCCTGTAACTCAAACTCCTTAGATGTCTGATACTTCACATGTGGTATTGCTTCTTTTCTCTGAAGCGGCAAATTACATGATCTTTGTTTTTTTGTTCTAGGATTGGCTTCCCCTCCAGATAAATAATCATTTTGCCCACGAGAACCAGGTGCAGAGAACTGGTTCACCTGTTCAACGGCTGACTCTGACATTGCTGCATTCATAGCTGGCATGCCATATGGTGGGAAGTAAGCATGACTGCCTGGAGGAGTGTCTGGAGGAACCCCAATTCCTTGATGAGAAGCTGGGATTCCATAGGTAGGATTCATGAAAGTACCACCCAATGGAGCAGGCCCAAAAGGCCCACATCCTCCACATATTGTTCCTGTAAATCCAGGCCCAGGATATGGCTTGTAAACAAGCCCTTCTGAAGGAGTCATAACAGGAATTAACCATTGGTGACCAGGTGACTGATGGAAACTCCAGGGACCCATCCCACTATCAGCAGCCATATTTGCCTGGTGTGGATTTCCAGCAAAATGGGTGTGATTTGAAAGGTGGCTACCATTTTTCACGGAAGAAAGAGATGTTTTCCCAACGGCATTCTCCGCAGAACATTCCATTTTATGATTCAGCTTTTCAGAATCATCTTTGCACTTCAGATTTTGTTGCCGTGGTTTTACAACATATTCCAGTGAGAGTTTTTTGGGAATAGATCCCTTTGGAGGGGACTTTCCCAGAAAAGCACCATCTTCATGCAAAAGATCCGGTGATCCAGCAATCAGCTGTTGGACCTGCTTAAATAAAAAGAATTAATCTGTATGAACAGATTCCAAGTGCGTGTGTGCAAGAAAAGCTAACATGCTTCTTATTTTGGACAAACACGAGATGCTGAACAGTGTCAAAGATAATTTACCTTTATTAGTCTATGCAACTCAAACACTTGGACTGCAAACACTCTCTGTTGACTGCAGAGAGGAACAGGAGTTGGATCAAGAAAATTGCACAATACTCATCCAGTGAGGACTTGAGACACATACAATTGAAATAAAATGAAGAATGAAGCATTTGAAACTAGATATGATCATGTTGGAAGTGCCAATATATAAACCACTAATGAACAAAATCAAAGGATCTCCAACCATACAAGATAACTGATTAAGCAGAATTATTTTCCAGTCTACAGTTCATAGATATCATCTTCACAGAAATCTTGACACTTTCTGGAGGATTGAATGTATTAACCAGACATAAATCTGATAACCACACTTGCTTCAGAAAGATAACATGACTGGTCTTTGGTAATAAACAAGCTTTATCACATGGCTTAAAACAGTAAAAGCTCATACGGAAGGCCAATTAAAATATAGCTTATAACAGAAAAAAACAAAATATAATTCGAAAGAAATATTTGCGAATTTCATTGTCCCTGTTCAGAATAATGACCGGACATCAGGGAACATTTGGGTATACAACCAATTGTGTGAACATGAACATTCAATTCACAATAGAACCAACCACTCTGGAAAAATTGGTAAAAGTTCAATAGTTAAGTTCTTTTTTTGGGCTGGGGCCAAGTACATATATAGATTAAAATCATACAAAAGATATCTATATGATATGAAATCAGTCAGAGCTATAGATGGCAGGGCACCTTAACTAGCTACAGTGTGTAACATAAAACAAAATCCCCATCCCAAAATGTCTCAAACACAGAAAACCAAGACACTAGATAAGTTAGGGGAAAGAATCCCCTTATCATCATAACATCCATTGAGGAGTCATCACATACTCTCCAAGTGTCCCTACCATACATCCAGGGATCATCCTGCATTAGTTGGTCCCCTTCTTAGTTCAAGTCCTTCAGCGCAGTGCCCCAGTCGTGACATGGAGAACCAAGCAAGAGGAAACCAATACAGGAATATATCCAAAATCCAGTTGCTATAAGACAGTGAATCATGAGATGATCTGCTGTCACAGGGGTCCCCTCCAACATAGTATAATATTAAGGCTGCTCACTGCCCTGTTGTAACCAGTACCCACCATTAAAACATTATTAAGGACTTTGAACGTACAAAAAAAAAACCAATTTAGAAGGGACCCAGGCCAGGACTACCAAATTTATTTTCTTCAAAGCCACAAGCACAACTCTTAATTGAAATGTAAATATCCAGCCCACATGCCTGGTATAGAATTAAGGATGCATATAAGATACTTTACATTTGTAGAAAAAGGAGAAGAGAGGGGGAAAAAATAAAAAATTAGTAGGGAGCAGTTTCCTAAAGTTCATTTTTTTCTGTTCCAACATTACATGTTTGCTAACCAGACCCCAAGCTAATCAAACATGCAGGCAAAAATAAGAAAGAAGGCAACGGGGAATCCCATCATTCCACAAAAATAAAGATAATCAAATCACGAGTATATCAAACTCCCACCCGCTCTGGGTTTTATATTCTATATCTTTATGCATGTCCATGAAAAACAAAATGAGGATTTTTCTTCATGACAAAATCATAACATCTACAAAACTCAACAATTAAGATACCGTCAGGTCTTAGCAATTTTAAAAGTTCACTATTTATATATCAGAAAAAGGTTTCACAAGGAAATACTTCACATTTAAGACCACCACAGGAACCAATGCTATTGACAAGAAACACAACTTACTTGGCAATTGCTCTTCTAGCTTTCCAGAAATGTTTTTGACCTATTACCTCAACAACATCATCGGGAGAAATTTTCAGGGTTGACAAATTTTCTACCCAGGAGATCTTGGAAACATTGTCACTTTTGTTTAACTTTCCTCGCTGTATTGGACTGCCAGTCCTGGTATTGTGATATTCAGTGTCATTGATAGCCTCAGCTGGACTGGTTTGATTTGCTATAGGGGCATTCCCCTTGTCTGTCTCCTTTGGAGACTCAACAACACCATTACCATGTCCAATGTCATTAAGTTGTGACCCAGCTCTACAGTCCCTCTGTAAGCAGGCATCACCTTGACGTAATCTGCTAATTTTTGACACAGGAAATTCTTGAAACTCTTGATTTCGAGTCACCTTAGCTTGCTTTACTAAGGTGTTAATTTTTTCTCCAGTTGTCATGTTTCTTTCAGGCATTAATAACTGCTCCTTACTTAGACTTACTTGTGGAAGACCATCAGTCTCACTTCTCACATCTTTTCTCATATTAACAAGTGGGGAGCCAAATTGTTTTGGGTCCCTTCCAGAATCATTTTGCCCAGCTACTGAACAACCAAAGTACCTAGAGCCTGTAGCAGTAATTTTTTTCCCATTGAAACTCTCAAGACTTTCATCATTAGATTGATCAATCCTTGAATGAATGTATACAGGAACCCTAAAGTCATCTTCATCTACCTTCTTTCTCTGTTCAGGTTGTACCAAGGAAGCATTCAGATTTTCCCCATCTGATTGGCGAGAAATATATTTTTCACCCGGATGAATAGGTGTTTGTGGAGGTAAATGAACAGGGAAGACACAATTTCTCTCAGGGACAGTCCCCTGCAAATATTGTAATCCAGACATTCAGAAAGGAAAATAACTATCTCATAACTTATATACACACACAAGCACGTAAAACTATAAATATACAAAATATTGCTTAGAACATAAGAAGTTAGGAATCAGTGATTGATTGTTGGATTAAACTATTCTTATGCTGAAAAGAACTAAACAAATAACTAATAACGATAATTAAGATTTTAAGTAAAGCCACAGTCACAGAATCCAAAAATTACCTGGCTTAAGGATGCTGGGGGAGCTGTATTAGTAGAATTATCTGGGTTGAGTGGCAGAACGGTCTGGTTGAACCTTTGAGAGGGAATACTAAACTGCTCATAGAGGGCCATCTTATTCCTAGGTGGTGCTCTTGGCCCTCCCTTCTCCGTATCATTGACATGGAGTCTAGGGAACATTGGCCCAATCATCTTCTCATCATCCTTCCCTCTCTTCATGCTTACTCTTCCTAATAATATAACAACAGCCTCCTCCCACTCATTTTTTATGTTAAATTGCAAACACGTAGCCAAGGCATAATCCTCTAATCCACAAACTCAAATCAATCTCACTTAGACAACACAATCAACTCTTAATCGTGAAGCTCCAACTAAGTAAGCGATTGCGGCGCAGAGACACAATATAAGTAATGAATCTACCCACTTTCTCGATAAGATACCAAATCTCAACTTTTCCCAACTGGGTACCAGGCAGAACTATGAATACACACTCGATCTTGCTTAAAGCTTGCAATTACTCAAAACAATGATCAAAACCCCGAGGCAGAGAAGAGAGGGGGTAAGAGTAGAAGTCAACAAAAATTCACTGAGATTACCGAAATCCAAAGAGAGCTTGTGATTCTGAGTAGTGGATTTCCGCGAAGGAAATGGTGGGAGTCGTGCAGAAGCGGAAGAGAAGCGGGTCAGAACACAAGTACTTTCTGTGAAAAAAACCAACGGCGGAAATTAGCAGGAAATCACGAGAATTTCGGAGCAAAAAGATGTGATGTTCGGAGGGAACAAATTCGAGGAGGAAAAAGCATACATAGGAGAAGAGATTAGAAGAAAAGAGAGATAGAAAGGCTATGTTGTGTTTACGGATTGCTCAGAGAAGAGAGGATCATGGTCTTGCACACCAGGAAAAGAGAAAAGTGCAAGCTTTGCGGGCCCTTTTTTTTTTTTTTTTTTTTGATAACATTTGCGGGCCCTTTTGGATAGAACTAGGAACTCCTTACTTGCACTGAATATTTTAATTGGATTTTCTTGTCCTAATATACTCTTTTCCCTTTTCCTTTTGGATAATTATACTATATTTACGGGTTAGATGGTACTTACTTTATAATATTACACTTTTTTTTCACTTTTATATTTTTTTTCTCTCTCTTGTAATATAAAATATTGTTCAACAGCTAATTTCCGCATGCCTAAGGATTGAGAAAAAAAAAATCTTTTTTTTTTGGTATCCCAGAAAAAAAAAATCTTCCCCCTCGTGCAATTTAGCATCTAAACAATACTAATTTCATTTTCAATGTCTAATCAATATTTTTTAGTTGTGATTTTTTTGATTGAGGTCAAAATATCTTCCCCCTCGTGCATAAACGCCGAATAATAAATAAAAACATTTTAATTGTGTTATTATAATATATTAAAAATTATTTATATAAAAGTTTATTTAAATACTGTTTATTTTTATTTTTCAATAAATGAAATTATAAAAAAATATTCTTTTAAATACTGACCTTAATTATCTCTTTGAGATAAATTAATTTTCTATTTTTCACATAAGCTTTTCTTTGAAGAGAATATGAGATTAATTTTGAGTTGGGATTATTTGATGGAACCGAACTCATATTCTCTTCTCAATTGTTCAGCTTGTGTTATCAATTGAATTATAACTATTAAGTAAGAAAAGAATAACTAATAACTTTGCTAGTTGTCCCTGAAAATTTTCCTAGAGTGAAATGCTCTCTGAAATCAAACAGAAATTGGAGAGACAATAGGATGCTAGATAATTGTCATTTATAAACAAAATGATTTATGCAGTATTTATAAAATTATAATTATAATAAAAAAAACTGTTCAGTTTAATTTACATTATTATTTGTTTAGTTATTAGAATTAACTAACACAGTAAAAGGTTTTGTTTTTCTTAAAAAATATCAGTGGAGCATTTTGAAAATCCACGTGTTGAGCGACGATCATTGAATGTCATTCTCAGTGGTGCCCTTTTAGCTCCGTGGGGGATCTTAAATTGACGGACTGTGAAAAGCACCAAATAAAGCAGATTCGATGAAATCCGCTTTGGTCACCATGTTATCTGTTCCGTACCAAAAGGAAGCAAAAGAAGGCAGTGGTGGCCAGTGCGCATCAAAACAACGAAACTTATATAAAGATAATTCGATGTGAATGCTTACAAACAAAGGCTAAGTAAATTAAAAGACACAACACATGCACCATGATTTTAAAAAAATATTGTTCGTAACGTTCTATTTCATATGTATTTTTTATATTCAAAGTATTAAACGACTTAATTCACATTAAAATCAATTTAGTGGTTTAAAAAATCATTACAAATCATGTATAAAAAAAATAAAAATCATAATTGATATGTTTAAATGATTGTATACTATCATGATAATATTCATTCTTTCCAAGCCTTTTACTGGGGTCTTCTACTGGATTTTTATTTAGCTTTATTTAATTCTTATGTACTGAGAATGTACCTGAAAGCTTTGGGGATCTGAACTTAAAAACTCTTTGTTAATAATTTTAATTTATTGTAAGTTTCGGATTTCAAATCATTAACTACGATTGGTCATAATAGGATATTCAAATTCCTTTTATCAGTAGAAAAATGACACAAGTTTCTATTATTTTTAATGAAATTATAGCTTTTGTATATTTATTTTATAAAATTAAAAATAAAACGAAGAAAAAATAATGTAAAAATATACAAAACAATTCAATTTTATTAAAATAACACAAAACTGTGTTAATTAAAATGATAAACATTTGACTATAAAAAAAATGACAAACACTTTTCTCATGTTATAATTGCAAAATGTTTTAAATACTGCAATAAGATTAAAAAATCTTTCATGAAAGAGAAATTGAAAACGCAAAATGAGAATGAAGGACCGATAAAATCAAATTTCTGCCATAAATCTCATCAATTGCAGCTATAACGGACCAAAAATTTGTATGACTGTGTTTTTTTTAAAAAAAAATCAGTGTATACACAATCACAATGTATAACAACTTGGTGGTAACACCTAGAATATTTATGCAAAAATAAAAATTAATGGTGCATTATAGTTGGAAATAAATTGTTGTTTTGTTTGGGGTGGGAAACTATGTTGCACCGACATCGATACGAGACACGAGATATGACACGACACAACACTCTAACACGTTAATTCTAAAAAATGTTAGATTTTGACATACTAAGACACGTTTTGATATTAAATAACATTTTTAATTTATGTAGTGTATATTATATTTAATATTCAATAATTTAATAAAAAAATGAAGTTAGACTCATAATACCAATTAATTTTGCAAAAAAATATAAGATACCCTAAATATTTATATTAAACTCAATAAAATGGTAATCGTAATCCAACAAATCTAATAGGTAGTACTAAAAATGTAACGCAATGCAACATTTGAATTCCTTTTTGAATCTCTGAAATGCATGTTGGAGTTTCGGAGAATATCAGAGTATCGGAGAGTGTTGAAAAGTATTGAACACGATACATCAAATTTTTTGAAATATCGATACTTCATCGGTAAAAAATGTTAATAAATTAATTTTTATTAGCAATACTTCTATTAAAAAATTAGACATATGGATAAGCACAACTAAGTTATCAATGACAAACGGACGAGACAGACAGTACTAGTTAACAAATATTGATGATTCCCAAGGCAGCTATATTATTATATTTCATATGATAGTGTGTTATGATTGAAGAAGGCTGATGTATGACCAACAAGACAATGTTGGTTTATTCAGCATAGATAAATACGGAAACTTAGGGTGTGTTTGAAAGTGTTTTAGTTTTTTTGTTTTCAAAAATTGTTTTAAACATGAATTTTAAAAGTTGATTTTGAGAGTGAAAAACAAAAGAACTTGTTTGAGTGTAATTATAAAGAAGTTGTAATTATTTACAAAAATGTCATTAATGAAATTTTAGAATTACAAAAATGCCATCTAATATTTACGAAACTGTCATTAATAAAATTTTAGAATTACAAAAATGTCATCTAATATTTACGAAACTGCCATTAATGAATGCTGATAATTACGATTTTGCCACCGCCTAAAAAAAAATCTCAAACAGCATCGGAGAACATCCTCAAGTTGTTTTGGTTTTCTAGTTTTAAAAATAAAAAAAGAGTCGTTGTTTTGGAAAGTATTTTGCAAAACAATTATTCCCAAACAGATTTTTTTATTTTTTTGTTTTAAAAACTTAAAAACTGTTTTTAAGAACAAGAATCAAGCAGACCCCTAGCTACTTATGTTTAGGTTTCAATTCTGCTCCTTATTTTTCAGTATTTTTAGTCAGCATAGATAAATACTGAAAATTAAAATAATAAAAATTAATATAACCTTATAATAAATTAAAATTTTAAAAAAATTAACCCCAAAATAATATAGTGTTAGTTCATTAGAAATAATTTTATCTCCATTCATTAAAAAACATTAAATTCATATATAATATATATTTGGAAATTATAAAAGAAACATTGTATAGTAGTTAGCTACTTCGGGAAAATATTTTGATTGCTCTCGTCACACCTACACCCAGTCAATGGGAATAAAACATCTGTGCTACCGTGTTATACAAGGGAAAAAAAACTCGAGAGAAATGTTATTCTTATAATTTAAAAGTTTTACAATTTATTTTTTTATCGTTGATTATTGTCAATCTAATAGTTAAGATTTATTGGATCATATTTATTAATTAATTATTAATTTTTAATAAATAATAATCATTGGATTGACGGAAATCAACAATAAAAATATAAGTTGTAAAAGATTGTAAAATTTTTGGGACATGTGTTCGATTCGTGCTGAATGCATTCTTGGGGAGGGGGCTGAACCTTTAGCCATCACTGCTCCCCCGCACTCCGGATTAGTCTCATAGCCGGCTCAAAGAGTCGAAACTCGTGGGGATACCGGAAGGAGCCAACTCGCCTCAAAGAGGTAATTAAGGTTGGGTAACTCCAAAAAAAAAGATTGTAAATATTTTTTTTTCAAGATATCCTTCAGCCTAAAGCTGAAAACTAATTTTTTTCGAGGCAGAAAATCACATTTAGTGGATAAACCTCTCCCAACAAAGCATTTGTCATACATACGGTCAGGGACCGACACCCTGTCAACATGTTTAAAGAACCTAGCTATCTACCAATTGTGTTGGGTTTTGTTGATGATTGTAACATTTTTAAGTTGTAAGAATAACGCTCCTAAATAAACTCTAATACTTTGCCTATGTTTAATCCTCTAATTGCTCATTTTTACATGGTCATATTATTGATAAGTTTTATTTATTCATTAGCATATTAATAGTTACAATTTAATGATAAAACTCATAAAATGAAAAAGGAAAAGTAAAATAAATGAAAATGAAAAATGGTTAATTTAATTACTAACTATTAATTTATTAATGAATGATTAAATTTTTTAGCATAATTATATTCAGATGAGATATAAGAGGATTCTCTTCAAAAAGCATGGCTTTGGGTTGTGAGCATGATAAGTAGGAGAGCATCAGGGGTATTGAGTAGGTTGACCATGTTTTAAGTAAGAAATTTCGAATATTCAATTTCATTGTCAGAAATTGACAACTTCTCTCAAGTCTCAACTGTCTATTTAATTTAATTATGATTGTGTTAGACAAATAAAACACACTCACCAATCTTATTTAATATTTTGTTTTTTATGTTGATGTTATATTTATTTATACTCCAATGCAGAGGGACGGTATCAAGTTGTTAGTATGTTTGAGCGAGCACTTATGATTAATTATAAAAGGAAATTAGAATAACATAATGCTGTATGGTCGTTCACGCTGCGAATCAAAAAGTTTTAACGTTAGAGATAGATTATTCTGACTACTCTTATTTTGTCTACTCCTTTTAATATCGTTCGATTACAA